ACCGCGTCACTTGATCTTTTAATGTTCTTATGGTGACATTGTGCACCATACTCTAGTTTACCCGCGTAGTAATGAAACTACTCAATTAACTTCTCCACTTTGGAGAAATGAAAACCGTTTAACATTTTCTTCATATCCTTTAACCAAATGTCTGTAACAACAGAACATTCCTCAAATTCACCTTTGAACTTAGGTGCTTCTAAATCTTTTAACTATCTCAATACATTCATTCTATGAGTTAAAAAAAATAACATTGTAAACATTGTAAACACATCGAATATCATTCAACATCATGAATCATTCTCTAATCTTATACATGCATTCCCTGAGGTTTTCACTCTTCTCCCTGCCTGGCCAGGGCAGGTGAATGCTATTACGTTCAGGTCTATAGCCTTGTGTTTCACTTTGGAAACTCTCATATTTCATGTGCTCATATCATTTCTTCTATCACATATCACGTGCATATGCTCATCCAATTCATATTGTATAACATATGTCAATTGCATATGTTCACATATCATCCATCATATCATATAAACATATATATAAATTTCATAAATCATTCTCTGGTATTCACATATCTTATTTAACATAATAATTTAACTCTATTAACAAGACAGTACACTCCTTACCCTATCAGATCAGAAAATTTTCTACTTTATGTCGGCATGTATACTTTTTAAAACAATTTTGACTTCGTTTTTTAGCTAGAATCGGCTAACCGTAGCTCTGATACCATTAAATGTAACACCCCTAACTCGTATCCGACCCGGATACGAGTCCGAAGTGTCACATTGACTTTTCAAACATTTATTCGTATAAAATAGTGAGTAATTTAAAAACTTTTATAACATTTAACTTATTCAAAACATTACAAAACTATTCAGAGCTTATACAATATATCTTTAATTACATGCCAACTGAACTTTATATAAAAAATACATATTATTCACCTCTCTTCTGATATGACATTTGGTAAGGAGAATTGACCTGTCTTGTTCCTCTTTACTTCTCATTTCGCTTTCCAAACCTTACGCGTGAAACAATCACACGCAAGTCGATGACTTAGTGAGGCATATAAAACATATATATTATATACATAAAGCATACATAAACATATACCATCATTATCATAATCTCTATCATTATCATTAAGAAACACACATAACTCATATGGTTCATGTAACACATTTCAAACCACTACCTTTGATAACCATTTATAAACCCATCTATACATATCACATTCAATATGTTTGTTTAATCTCTTTATTAGCCCATGTATACTAGTGAGAACTTAAGGTATGTGAGTACATGAGGCTGTGCACACATATGTTGTCACCATAGCTCGATCAATTCCCGAAGGACCTATCCAGAGGTCATAAAGATCCTCGGTAACTATCAGAGGTCATAAAGATCCTTGGTAACTATCCAGAGGTCATAAAGATCCTCGATAACTATCCATAGGTCCCGAAGAACCTAGGTAAACTATCCATATGTCCTTAGAACATAGGTATACTGTCCATATATCTCGAAAGACATAGGTAGTTCTTTGACTCTTGGCATGCCAACTATACCTACAGTTCTCATAACTCATAACATGGGCATTATCATTATGAATACATTTCTCATCACTTGTTCTTTCTTCTGTCACATACCACATGTATGTGTAACCATGTATTTCATATAATGTATCTTATAATAGATTCTTATATCATCATTTGTTCCTTCCTACCTATTCACAATCACACTAACATGTAATTCAAGCAAGATGTATTAATACATACATGTAATCACATAACTTATCATATCATTTATCTTATAAACACATATCCCTCTTCTGTCACGTATCACATATAGTGTAATTATTGATCTTATAATCCATGTTCCTTCTCTCTGTCACATACCCTATGTATGTGTAAACATATATCTCATAAACATATATTATGAATCTATATCGTATCACATATTCACATAAACATGTAATCCACTTTCACATATCACTTAAATATTTTAATATGATCACATAACTCATATTATCTATCTCATGTCATGTATTTACTTAATTCAGTTTCACATAGCTTGTCACATAGGCATGTATTCTATATATTAAATTTCATATAGTTCAATATCACATATCACATAAATGTAATCATGTACTCATACACATAAGCATCATATCATTCACAAATCAAATAACATTTTAGGAGTCACTTCTTACCATAGTAACTCCATCACTGGCTCATCACAGCCAAGTTTATTCGATAACATAAGTACAATTAAATTGCACTCACCTTAGCTTTGCTTTGATTCGATTCTAATCCTTCAATTGTTTCTGAATGGATCACGTTCTATATCTACATAATCATTCATAGATCTATATCAGTATTATAACTAATATACTCTAATGGTTCACTCCTTAGACTAAGAAAAATGCCAATTTCATCTTTCAATGAAACTATGCATCGATGCACTACTGATGCATCGGTGCATAAAATGCATTCGATGTTGTATTATCACTGGGATACATCGATGCATGCCTTATGCATCGATGAACTAATTGCATTCGATGTTTCTATTTTAAAAGAGTGCATCGATGCACTACCTGTGCATCGATACGCCTTCAAACAAATTCTGGGTTTTAACCTGATGCATCGATGCACTATGAATGTGCATCGATGCACTCTGCCCGAACCTCTTTTTGAACCCAAAAATCATCAACTCTCACTCAAATGCTTCATATTTCATCCCCTTCATATTCCTAACTTTCATATACAGTTTAAACTCGTTTATAATCAATTATCTCTTCTTTAACCTTAATATCCTCCTCTTTATTACTTCAAGAATCATATCAGATTTTAACATGTTTTAAATCTAATTCTAACACTCCATATTTCTTAATTAGATTGATGACAAGTCAAATTCCTTCTCAAAATTGCACTTACTAACTCTTTTCCAGAATTTCCTTTAGAAACTCATTTTCTTTAATCTTTCATAACTTCTTTATCTTTTGATTTTAGGACAACTTAAGCTTTCCATAAGCTTAAGTATTACCTAATGATCAAAACTCACTCTTAAAATTACAAATAATCAGCTAAAAGGAATCTTACCTTTGCAAGCTTAGCTCTTTCTTTCTCTCGTACATGAAGAAGAAGAAGATGAAGATGAAGAGAATATCTCTTTCATCCTTATCCCTCTAACATATATATCCTTATATATCTATTTTTAATTCATTTATTAGTCAAATGAAACATTTTGTCCTCTACTTCATTTGATAATTACTAACAACTTTTAGGATTTATTTCCAGATAAATCATTGAACTAATCCATTCTTCTACTTTAATCACCAAATTCTGAAAGTTTACCCACTTTTTTTCACTTCATTTCTTGTTTTTTCACAGCTTCCAAACAACAACGAGAAACATATCGCCATTTTCATGTTCTTTTTTTATAATTACATTCGTTAATTGTTTTCATTCATGGTGTAGCCGTTCAAGAGGTACGTGGAGATCGGGAGAGTGGCTCTGGTTAACTACGGAAAGGACTATGGCAAGCTCGTTTTCATTGTCGATGTCGTTGATCAAAACAGGGTTCGCCATCAAATTTTACCTTTCCATTTTTCTCGGTTGTTCGGTTTATGTTTCTTTATCATTTTTTTTCAATACATTGCAAATTTTAGCTGAAAATTATTACCATTGTGGCGGAATAAGCTGTAATATTGACTTTGTAATGTGATGTAGGCTCTTGTTGATGCACCCGATATGGTGAGAAGTCAAATGAACTTCAAGAGACTAACTCTCACCGATATCAAGATTGATATTAATCGGGTTCCTAAGAAGACGACCTTGATTGATGCTATGGAGAAAACTGGTTGGTGTTAAATTCCTAAACTTTGAAAGAAAAGGGTAGTTTTTATTCACGTTTGCTGCTTGAAACTTGGTTTATAATGGTTCAGATGTGAAGAACAAGTGGGAGAACAGTTCATGGGGCAGGAAGCTGATCGTGCAGAAAAGACGTACATCTCTTAATGATTTTGATAGGTTCAAGCTCAAGTTGGCAAAGATTAAGGTAAGCACATTGTTCGTATTTTTCTTTTATTTCGCATCGTTTGTATATGCTATGCTTTCCTGGTTTTTCTGTATTTTGAGTTTTGGTGATCTTAATGTCTCAAAGATTGGCATAATGCTTGAAATTCTCTTTCATATCCTCATTGTATATTTCCACAATTATTTCATTCTGTTTTAAGCATTGATTCCGGAATATAATTGTCAAGTGTTTTCTTGGCATTGATATTCAGATAAGTTAAATGTCATCAAAAGTCCACTTTTACTCATTCTAATGATTTAAAGAAAGTTTGGGTCCTGAATGAAGTGTGAGAGTTTAAAACTTCGGAACCTTTTTGGCACAATCAAGACAAATCTTCAGCTTTCCAAGTTGATGTTGCCCCTTTGGTAACCTAACTTCAAATATGTAAACTTTTGTTTTCAAAGTTTAGATCTCTTCTGTAATATATTTTGTTGCCTGAATTATAAGATTTTCCAATCCTAACGCGTATGTACTGTGTTTCGCGTTGCAGAAAGCAGGAATGTTAGGCAGGAAGCTGGCTAAGCTTAAAAAGGAGACAGCAGCTTAAAGCTATCTTCTTTTAAGCTTACATACTATATTCATTGCAGTTTTTATTCAGTTTGAGATCCAAACCTACCAGATTTGACTCTTTTTTTTTTTTTAACATAATTGGTGTTCAAGACTCTTGCTATCAAGCACATCTAGCTGACTTTTGAGTTGACTGGCCCTTCCTACAAGTATCAACTTGTCCAATGCTTAGTAGCTCTAGTTAAACATTTATAAAGTCTTGAACGCTCTAGTTTTTCATTGCAGTAATTCAACTCACATTTGAGTTGTCTTTCATGCTGTCTTAAACACTTACAATGGCCACAAATTTTTTTTTGGTGGGGAAGGGGGTTTCGTAAACGATGGAAAAGTTTGGCAATATGATGAGGGAATTGTCATGAACTGTTGCAAATTGGCATTGAATCCTGGGTGATATCCCTTATACACAGTTGAGCTAGCAAGTTCGTAAAAACAATGGCTTATGATTGATATACTACTCTCATTTCCTAACTGAGAGAAGTTCAAAACTTCGAAGATGGTGATCATCATGGCTTCGTCTACCATAGACAGCACGACTAGATGGTTTGACCTCAAAGGCATGTTGGATTCTGTGTGTGGTAGACAAGCGACCACCACTTGATGATGGTTGGTTTTGTGGAATGTCATTGGGTTCGCCGGACGAACCAGGCATGTTTGTTGCTACAGCTCTTCTTGAAGTGCTACCATATCGAGAATCGTGTCTTTTACCTGAATCAGGGTGCTGGGAATTGCAAACCAACACAATCAGAACGTAGAAGATGAGAACAAAAACAATACATAAACGAGAGAGGGAGAGATGAACAGAATTAAAAGGAAAACTAAATAGACAGGACTTATCAGTCTTATTACTATGCCAACTAAATGTAGTGAAAACAAATTAAGATAACGAAATCGAGGAATCGGTGTTCATTAATACCTATTCAGTGATATTTGGAATGTCTGTGCATTGGATATGACTCCATAAATCCCCTAATTCTAATCCAAGTTAGGGATGGAAGCCAGCGGGATTGCAACTTAGCATGGCTATTATATGAAATAAAATAAAACAGGAGGAAGATTAAAAGTGGGTCTAAAGGCTTTGTCATAATACTGCTAGAAAAGAAATTGGTATGCTAATTATAGCTCACCACATTCTTGGACAAGTTACATCCCTCAGCAGTTTTGTTTCTAGCAGAAACATTTCTTTTGGAAAAAGCTTCAGTTGCACCAGATAATCTATCCCGAACCTCTCTTCCCACTGAATTTTGATGTCAAGGGGAATGACCACATAAGGGAGATAAAAAATAAAGCAAAGAGGTTATTATTAGTATACCAATACTCAAAGCAACAAACAGCTATTCTGAAAGACGCAAAAAAAAAATCTGTCCTCATCAAATATTTAAATTCCAAGAAAAAGGTTTGATTATAGTACCTGAGATTCTTTCTGGTTTTTCGATGGATGGTCCTGCAGCTAAACCTGCCCTTCCATTGGCATGCTGAGAAACAGATGTAAAAACTGTAAATATTCCAAAGGTGGAAGAAACCAAGAGCCTAGAGGTTTATAAGTACTTACCCTGCTTCGGGAACTACTGCCAATCTGTGGGTACTTCAACACAGTCCAGTCAAAGACATAGTCAAACTGATAACCTGCAACAATGTGAATTTCAGAAGAAAAGAAATTATAACTAATTTTTTTTATAGAAGTTGGAGGTCTCATTAAAAACTCTCTTCATATTCTTTCACATACTTAAAAGTATGTTGAAAAACATTGGAAGGGAGAAAAGAGTGCCTCATATTTTATTAAATAGAAGACCAAATACATGTGGTAACACCGAACCCTCATACAAGAATATACACCAATACAAACTATATCACCTAAAAATCTTACATCTTGAAACAAAAAGCCCCTAAGACAATAACCCTATTTGTACAATACACCTCAAGATGAAATATAACATAGCAATAAACCAACAATTTCAACCACAAACTTAAAAACGCCTCTGAATGCAGCTGTCGAACAATCACAATCCAATTGGAGGATCAAGTTCTAAAGAAATATTGCAATCTTCAGAGACCCAAGAATTAGGTTTGAAGGAAGGATCAACTTCATGCACCAAGATATTGAATAAATGATCCCCGACCTTCAACTCCAACAACTCATTAATTCTCCCTTGAACATTTGTGAGTATTTGAATTTTCGCCCGATCAAAAGACGAAGGGAACTCACAATTGTTATCAATTGCTATTAACTTGCCCCACTTTGTAGCTCTGTTTTTTAAAGTATCCCAATTGCAAGTGTGAAAAGAATACCTTCGCAAACTAACCACACACGTCGGCTCTCCACCACAAGGCTCTCAGACCAAGTTCCACTCTGGAAAACCATTATGCAAGAGTCTCTAACTTATCATCCTTCACGCTTCTCAACGAATCATAGTTTTCAAAAACCATTAGAACTATATTCCAGCAGCTCTCAAAAGCGTGAACCCGCTAGTCCTTTGGCTTGTATTTGGTTAGCAAGATTACCAATTTTATAAAGTTCTTGCACCACCCCATAAGAAGTTAGTCAACACTTGAAGTTTATCTTCGTCCACAGCACCCTCAACTTCACAGTGTTTAATCCTCGGAACATTGAACTAAATACGGATCCTATCCTTTCAAAAACGTTTGTGGAAATAGCAATTATGGTTCGAGTGTACCATCCCAAAATTCAAATTGCTTTAAAAAGTTTATAAAAAAAGAGAATTCAAAGATCAGGCCAGGTCTATATAGGTGAAGATGAGGCCTAACGCAAGCACGAGCAATCCAGACATCAGTGATATCAGTAAATAAATTTCTTAAAAGGGAACAAATTAGTAGTTGTAAGGCATAAGAGATAATACCTCTTTTTTTATAGGAATTGAAGACCTCGTTAAAAACCTCCTTCATGATTAAAGGAGCTTATAGAGAAGCTCTTTAATCAGCGGAAGGAGGAAAAGAGTGCCTTAGGATTTTATTAACCATAGAAAATACACGATACAACTAGGGGGCCACCCCTAATATAAACAAAACACCAAAAACAACCTCAAACAATCCTACCAGAACCAGCCTAATCCAACAAAGCAACAACGACAGCCTAAAAAAACAGACCGGCCAAACTATAAACCTAAACGTGGCCCGAAAGACTCCCCAAACAAACAAAACAACCATAATAAAGCAAGGGTGACAGCTGACTAAAACCATATAAGCCAACTTCTAACTCAAAAAGCCGGAGCTTTCACATGATAAGAATACAAAAAAAAACACGCACATAGCCGCCTTTCCACCACATCAACTCGTCTTGTCGACTAAGACCATCCGAACTTCCAGCTCCAAACAAAAGCATGATGCAGATCACCTGAAACTTCTACTCCTTCCCCCGCCATAGTCTTCCGACATCAGATACACTACTTAGCCATTAGACTCACAACCCAATTCTTTCCCAAAAGGCAAGGAATTGATCGCATCCTTCTGTTGAGACTGCCCCAATGCTGGAAAATCAGATTCATATATGAATCTGCCATCAATAACAGACACCTCTTCCTCCCACAACACCTTACTCTGATGGCTCTTGCTTCGGTAACCCCTACTTTCTTTTGGGAACTGTAAATTCCCTTGAAAAAATTGTTTAGATCTATATTTGTTGCCAAATCCCACCTTCGGTCTCATGTACTACCTTGCGTTACCCTTTGGATTTATGTATGCGCAGTTGTAAGAAAAGCCCTCGTGTATCCCATGACTCAACCCGACCATCCAACATGGGGAAATCATTAAAATAATCCTTTGAGCCTACAAAAGCACATGCAGACTCACTACTTTTCCTGAAGGCAACTTCTTTCTCCCTCTCCGCGTGAACCAACATATCCACTTTATCCTTTAGGCTCACATCTTCCAATTCCCTTGACACTAAGAGACCATCTAGGATGGGAGAATTAATTAAAAAATCCTTACTCCCCTCATAACCACGTGCAGGCAGCAAGTCCTAAAGACATCCACTACTTCTCTCTCCGCATGCACCAACAATGTCTCGTGTTCCCCCACTCCCTCAGTTGCGAAAGAACCATCCTCTGACCTACAACGGCACTCCTCAGACCCATCATCAATGCCTCGCCTATGTTCCTGTCCTCCACACCCTCACCCGACAAGAGGCTGCCTCTAGCAGTCCCCAAACAACAAGAAATTTTTTTCTTCTTTCTCATAACACCTCTCCGCCGACTGCACCTCCTAAGAGTGCATGGATCTTCCTGCTTCTTCAGCACCCACCTCCAGCTCGGGAAACTTAACTGGAGAAACACCAACGTGCTCCCTCACCTTGGATAGCGGAGATGTGATTGCCTCTTCAAAAGAAGACGACTCCACCCACTTAATAAAAATTCTGCACCATCCTACCAAGCTGTCTTTGAGAGTTGAGAGCTTACTCTCGTTAACAGAACCAACAATGGAAGCCTCCGTATGACTAACATCCTTCACTACACTGTTGCCCTCGAGTGAATATGGACCAGACAACTTCTTCCTCCAGAAAACATCACAAGGATGATATCTTGCCATGAAGACTCTAACTTTGTTACCTTGAATCCAAGATCTATCAACACGTGATAGCCTTCCTCGCGTCCTCCAGTCTGGTCCCTTGCTTCTTTTATTAGGGATGAAAGAATCACCACCTTGTCATATTTATCGAAAATATCCAAAGAGACCTTGGTAATGAAAACTCTCTAGAATGTTGAAAATGATCACTGTGACACAGTTTTTCCCAACCGGAACTCTCCCATACTCGCCATCAAGAGAAATGGAAAGGAATAAAAACAGAAAACTTATCTAAAACACCTGATTTTTAGAGAGAAGGAGGAGCTTCTCTCACTAACTGTGCTTTAAATGTTGGCCTCTATAGGAGTTGATACCTTCTTTTCACTAATCTTATCATATTTTTGCTTTTTTGTGCCAGCTTTAGCCCCTGCCATGGAAGGCTGAAGCAAAGAAAAAGTTCCAATTGAATAAAAATTAAAAAATCAATATTGAGCAAACTAAGAAGATTCAGTAAAAGTAACAACATTATTAAAAAAGGAACATTTAAGATGATCATGTCAAGACTATATATACCAACCTTCCTCTTAGAAAATACATAAGACATAACCAAGGGATTCCAAATCATCTCTTCGGCTTTGCTCTGTCAGTACATTGAAGACTGGAAGTTAACAAAAAAGAAGAAAACTTGCATCCATAATATATTGTTTACTGTTACTAGTTGGAAACGACTCACCGATGCCAAGGTGAGTGTTCACACTAGCATAACGAGTTGTGCCTGTGAGGTTCTTGTTTTCTCTGAAGCAAAGAACTTGATGAGTTGCTTTCACTATAAAATCTTGAGATCTTCAGGTCTGAATTTCTATATTAAAAAATCACAGAGAAATAATCACCTGTATGGGATATGCTTATGAGTCTGAAGATCCCTATACTTCTTTGCAAGGCCATAATCAATGATAAACCTGTAGATGCGAAATTAAAAAGAAAAATGATATCAGAATGTTTCAAACTTTTGATGTGAAACGAAGTCCTATACAAACAATGGTATAAATGATAATATTTTTAGCATAACTAAAATTAAAAAAGGTGGTTGTGCTAGCAGTCTAATCAGTATGCACATGTTTTATTTGCCAACATAACATACAAGCAAAACAAAATAACTAGTACCTGATTTGCCTTGCGTTCAAGGCCCATCAAGAAGTTGTCAGGCTTTATATCACGGTGAAGAAAAGCCCTCGAATGCATATAGTCTACTCTATTAATCTGGGGGGAAAAGGTTAAAAGGGGAAATCAAATAATAAAAACCTGAAAACTAATTCTTTACCACAAAAAAGACATATTTACCATTTGAACAGCAATCATCAACACTGTTTTCAACGATAGTTTTCCTACTGCAGTAGTTGAACAAATCTTCCAAACTGGGTCCAAGAAGGTCAATTACCATGACATTGTAATCTGCCTCGACTCCAACCACCTGAGATGGGGAATACCCGCTATACCAAGGTGAATATAAACCAAGTTATTTAGAGACTGAGTTTATAGTGCGTGATAATGAAAGAAGACTTGATATGGCCTTTCAAAACCAGCAGCTACCAAGACTTAGACCAATACTAAATTGACTTAAGACTGGTTAAATGTAATATGAGAAGGAAATTAACTTCCATCACATCAGAGATTGAATGTTTTCCTCTCAGGTTGTTTTCTCGCATAGTGGCAGTGCAGTTGAAAAGGCTACCCACAGAAGACTATAATCAATTATAATGTGGTACCAAATCATTTTTCCAGACACACAGAGGGAGAGAAGGCAGAGACAGAGACTTACTTCCTCCTTGAAGAAGCATATACAATTTTGACTCATAATGAAGCTGTGGATGCCTGGTCTTCACAGATTCCTGAAATTAGAAAGATATGTGGGGGGGGGGGGGGTCAAGCTCATTTCTTCAAATTCACACCTATATCATGCATTCTTACATGAAAAGGACAACACCGTATATGATTTCACAGAGAGAGGGTAATGTAGGTTGGAATTTGGAACAAAGTTGATAAATTGTCTTCCAAAATTATACTGAAGCAATAAAAAATTTAAACACATTGCTCTCATAAGCAGTTTTCATTTCCTCATTCCGATAAAAACGCTCTTATTCTTCAAATGGAAATTGAATGAACATAAAGTCCAAAGGTTAACAACAGAACAAAAATGGGAAAAAAAAGATAAGCAAGAATAACTGCCAACAATCATTCTTTTCTTTCTTTTTTTTGACATTTTGTTTATTGATGCAAACGGTTGTAAATGTTGGGACTCAACACTAGTCCACAGAAGCAAGTATATTACAACTGAAGAATGCTTTATTTAATTCAAAGACCAAAAACTCATCATTACAATTGACAAACACAGCTGCAAACAAGTCTACCAGACGACCAACAAAAAGACTGACAAAAAAATACTCAATGCATATCACATACCGTTTGACAGCAACTTCCTCTCCAGTTACACATTTTACCCCTTCACAAACAAACAAAAAAGAGATCAGGAAAGAGAGATACGATGCAGACAATGCAACAGCACACATTTTCTATAAGGAGGAGGAGAATGAGGATGAGGATGAAGAGAAGGGCATTAAAGAGATTGGGATTATACCTAAAAAAGCTCTCCAAAAGAGCCACTCCCAATTTTTCTTCCAAGCTTGAACTTGCCACCGATTACACGATCCGTCTTAAGCCAAAAATATAAAAGCTACACCCTTTAACAATACCGAATGCCCCCTCAAAATAGATTAATCTAAGCTGCTTTTAACTCGATTTTTGTCAAATTCAGTGATATAGCACCTCAAACCAATACCCTCAAAGCTTGGGGATTTACCAAATTGATAGCAAACCTCCAATAGATCATCTGAAGAAAAAACCTCTTAATCTTCTTCAATAATCAGCATGGGCGAAATCGTCACAATAAAAAATCCGACCTTCTGACTAAAATAACAGAAAAACGAAAAAAACGAAATCAAATTCGAAAGATGAGGCTAAACCCACCCCCGGGTATTTCAATCTAAGCCAGGAAAGACAAATGGAAAGAAAAAAAAAAGCTTTATTATAATGAATATCAGAAAGAACCAGTTCCTCAACTACAAAGCCTTCATATTGATAGTAAAATCCCCCAATATTGCAAAGGAAACCCTAATTTGGGAAGGTGAAGAAAAGCTAGATTGACTTGAGAAGAAGAAGAGGAATCAACATGCAAAACCAAACATCACATCCATATGTAATCAAATAAAAAAAGACGGCTTAAAAAAATGGCCGAAAACAATGAATCAAATAAAATAAGAAAAATTGTTTTTTTCTTTCTATGTTTGGATTAAAATTAAACAGAACAGTAAAGAATAGTTTTGAGTAGCCGTTTGTTAAGGTGGAAAGACGAATGAAAGAAGAGAGAGGGCGAGATTTTGGAGAAAAAGATAGGAAAGGGAAAAGGTAAAGGAACAGTAGCTTTATATAATGGATTTGTATTTTTTCTCAATATCATTAAATTAAAATATTTTTTATTATTAAACTTTTTAAAATTATAAAATAATTATTAATTGTTTTTATTAACGTAATAAGTTCAATTAATAAATAATATTTTATTAATTCTTAATTATAATTATAATTATATTTCTCATATTTTTTATATAATAATTTAAAAATTATAAAAAAATAAAAAAGTTATAATTTAATTTTAAATTATAAAACATTTTAAGAAACGAAGAAAATTAAAGAAATTGAATTTTTAACTTTTAGATATTATATTCAATTATAAGATAATATATGTTAAAAATATTTCTTAATTATTAATAGCATGCCCGTTCTATAAAGATAACTGTTAAAACTTAGTATGAACCAAGCGACCTCGGTGTTAAAAGAATTATTATTATTTCTTGAGGTTCTGGGTTCGAGCACCAAAAATACTATGATACGAGCGTTTAATATCAAATGATTGAAAGTTATCTGTAAATATATTATATCTTATACTTAACTCATACTATTAAAAAATGTTAAAACTTAATACTTTTAAATAAAACAATACTCTCTTTAACCATTCAAATATTTCCATATAAGTTTAGAAAAAATAATTTATTACTAATCATAAAATGAGATAAAAATATTTGTTGTAAAATCATTTTATCAAAGCCAGACAAAATCACCTCAATAATAAATGGGAAAAATAAATCTTATTTAATAATATTTTGAATTTATTTTTTAAAATAAAGTAAATTGTACGGTGCATAATAGAGGACATGGAGCACTTGACCTTCAAATAAGATAGTAATATTTCTCTTTTGCAGGAAAATATGGGTATATGAGCACAAAAACATCAAATGCTCTATGCGTCTTCTATAGGAACTATTTATTTACCTTATTTCAGATAATAGTTCTGATAGGATATTATATAAGGAATTATTTTCCCCCAAACATTATCTTGGTGATTTTGCCGTCAAAGCTATGCCGAAATCCAATCAATCGCCTGCTGAAATTCCACTTTTGGATGACATTGTCCACACCTGCCCTGATTTCAGAAGCCGCCCAAACTCCAATGGTTGCTGAGAGATATGCTTATTAAGGAATCGCTTCAAACCTCATTACTTACTTGACGCCTGACGGGGCCACTGGGTCAGTCCACCGCCGCCACATTTGCACAAGTTAACGCCGGGTCAGGGGTGTCGGTGCTTCTAAAAATTGAGGGTGCTTACCTTGCTGACTTTATTCTTGGCCGATACCGCATCATCATTCTTGCTTCCTTGTTTACATTGGTAAATCAATTCTACTACTTCCCGAATCTAAAATATTGAAAAGAGTTGCAGACAGACTTAGACACTTTCATCATTTTTAAACTAGTGAAGTTTCATTGCTCAAATAAGTACTTTGAAGCTCTCAATTCAAGATTGAGAACACATGTTTAATATTAACTGGGCCGTCCATTTCATCGGACACATTTCAAAGTCCCACCGAACAATCCTAAGCTGCATCAATGATTGAGAAACAGATAGCATCGACGTGTGTATATCAACCTCTTAGCTATGTACTTCAATGAAAAAAAAGAAATACTCAAGGTTCAAGTTTTCATGTCCACTGGAGTCTTGCAATAATGATAATTTATGCTTTGAATTACTTCTTATTGTTTTCTTTGGAATCTCAATGCTGGTCCTGGGGGGTGGGAGAATTTTGGGAGCAAAACATCTGTCAAGAAGTTCTAGCAGGCGGCCGTGCCTCTAGGTTAACTCTATCCAGACCATCTAAAGGCAAACAAAACTCTTTAAACATGAAGAAATAATAGAAAAGACGGAGAGCAGAGTCAATATCTAACTTGGTGCCAAGTTGTTTGCATATTGCAAAGTAAAGCATGTGTACATGATGGTATGATACGACTTTAAGAGTATCTTTGTACAACATTTCTGCAGCCTTTCTTTTTTATTTTTCCTTTTCAATTCTCCTGTTTGTTTTTCTCTCTATTTAAGAGTGAAAAAGGTTAGTTTGATCAGCAGTAGCTCTCCTCGATATTTAGATCTGAAGAGGCGAATCAAACCTGAAGTTCCCGTAGATAGAGACAGCATGGAAAAATGTGGTTGGGTATCAGAATCCGCATGATTTTCAGTGGCGTCCAGTTCAGGCAAGAGATTTAAGAAGCTCCCTTGAACAGGTTGATCACTAAGTGTCTCTGAAGCATCTGAAGACTCTGCCTCGCCATCTATGTCGAGAATCAGATAGAACAATTGAATATGTTAAAAGATAGTGGCAGTGAAGTATATGTCCGCGGACGTAGAACAACCAACAACATATGAAGAAAGGAGGAAGTAAAAACGATCTATGGATGGGGGTGGGTTCTTCTTCAACTCAGCTAAAAGTAGAAAGAAAATGTCAATTTGTAAAGGTATTACGTAATCCCAGAAACCAAAAACAGACTGGATAATATTAAGTGCAAATTACTAAAACTTTAAAGTTGAGATGCAGTATTCAGACAGTTTATAATAATAATATGAAGCTTAAGCATCTTGAAATCTTTTTCAGCCAGGCATTCTTACACATGATTCTGGAACAAATACCGTGGCCATCTATGTACATAATTCCATTACAAGGTGGAGAAAGAAGAATACCCATTCCAGGCACTCGAAAATTATTGACAATTTCAAAGTTTTTGTATGTGTATCCCACGAAATTTATGTCCTTGGACGAAAGCATCTGCAACATAGCGGGATGATCAAGAAAAAAAGAACTGTAACGTATGTCATGAAAAAACTCTTTTATTAGTCGACATAACAAAAACAAAACATAGTAGAGAGCCAAGAAAAAACAGAGCCGACAGTAGACCAATGCTATAGGATAGATGACTTCGACACAATACAAAAGATACTGGAAGCTTACTTTCCTCCATGGACCAGATTTTGACGGCCTAGAACACATTTCTTCTGACTGCACAATGAAATACAAGCAAACAGAAACTAACATCATAATAAAATAAGTTGAAACGTGATTAGCAGTACTGAATTCGAAAATTAAGGGATAACAGTACCTCATCAAACTTTTCAAAATTTTGAGTATCTAGCTCATCATTAACCTCGGGAATAAACGCAGCATCCATTTCATATATTCCATCCAGTCCAGACCTTGAAACCATGGATGTTCCTAGAGAAGAAAACAGAAGATAGCTCCTTTATCTTGAAACAAATGTGTGTAAGCATATGCAAGAATCTAGAATAGAACATCAAACAACACCATTCACCTCATTGACCCATCACACAAGAGTTTTAATTATATCTCTTGCCTCTGCAGATGTTGCCTCTTCAGGAAACTTCAAATGATCTCTCAGTTCACTATCTGTGCGAGTGATTAAAAAAAGTGACATTATTAGATAAATGAAACTTCTTAAATTCGTCCTTTTTCTACTTTGCTTCAATCATTTTATTGTAATATACGGCTGTTACGCAGCTAAAAAAGAATTTACCAGAATCTGCCTTTCCAAATAAAAATTCATAAAACAAGAAAAATCCATGAAAAAAAGCATATATATTGCTAGACCCTGACAATTTCTTTCACATTCCAGCCTCGACATAATCAGGAACAATTAACAGAGATATAAGCTAGATCCAGACAGAAGTAACTAATGAGAAAGAGAAAAAGTACATAATCAATTGGCAAAATTTTCAGGTTACCTTCCTGCAAGTTGACATCGGATCATCTGAATAAAAAGGTGGATATCCCACTAGCATTTCAAACATAATGGCTCCGAGTGACCACCTATGCGAAATAGTAACCAGTCAAAATAACCTATTATACTGTCACGTGCAAAAAATTAATGAATTGTAGGCATCATCATCAGAGGACAATGTCACTTTAAATCACCATGTTCATTGAGATATTAAAGCTAATCTTTCAAAATGAAGTCAGCATATATAAAAAAGTTAAAAATGAAATATCCTCTAATCTGCAACTAGACAGCCAATTCTGTTTCTAATTAAAACGTTATAGTTTAAATTGATATGTCAGAAAAAAACAGGACTGGTATCTGCAACAAGGTGGAATTTCTTTTCAAAATGCACAAATACTGACCAATCACATTCCATTC